TTCCTGCATCAAGCAACAACCCTGCAATAAAAAAAACTCCGGTAATTATTTAAAGGCACTCTCTTCGACTTTGTCCCTATTTTACGACCTGATCATTGCGGCACTCATTGTGCACCGTCCCACGTGAGCAAATGGTGGTGCAAGGTTGAAAATAGAATAGAGAGTACTGACACTGTAAATAGATAGATAATAGCTGCAACTAATAATTAAGCTGACTGACTGACTTATTCAATTGACAACAAACACATTAAAGCTGGCATTGATAATGCCGCTGTTGGNTCTATTTTACGACCTGATCATTGCGGCACTCATTGTGCACCGTCCCACGTGAGCAAATGCTGGCGTTGGTACAAAGTTGAAAATAGAATAGAGAGTACTGACACCGTAAATAGATAGATAATAGCAGAAAGTAATAATTAAGCTGACTGACTGACTTACTCAATTGACAACAAACACATTAAAGCTGGCATTGATAATGCCGCTGTTGGTGACAGTTAAGTGCACCGGCGAGACGTAAAGCCGCTTAGCAGGAAAGAGAAAGGGAGGGAGGAAATCGATCCGACTGTGTGTTTGGTTGTACTTCCGACACTAAATTCGACATAAAACCTAGCACAAACAACAAAACACCATGTGCACCAGCTCACTGATCATTGAGCAATCTGCTCACGACATCAAAGTGTGTGTCAACGCAGTTGAAAAGTCAGTGTTCCAGAAAACAAAACAGCAGGTGATTGCTCTTCCAGGCAACTCAATCTCTGGCCCTTTTTGCTTTATTTGTTCCGACGCAGTGAGTCATTACTAATATCTAATCCAGCACCCACACAGTTTAATTACTCTTCAGCGTTGGCAGTTTCAGCATCAGTAGATAATTCTCTACATTTCAGCTTTGTGCCCTATCTCTGTGTTCTGCTGTTCATGTACTGCTTTTGTACACTTGTACTAGAGCTGGTGCCGCTGGCACTTTTCGACAGTGCAATCGGACAGTGGAAAAGTCAGCAGCCACTTGCCCCTTCGAGCAATGTCAATGTTTGCTCTCGCCAGCTGCTGCACTACCACCACCGCCACCAGATTGCCATTGTCATCAGCGAGGACATCAACAACAGCAGCTCTCTTTGGTACCCTTTGCGATTGAGTGGCAGCACTTTAGTTGCTGCATTTGTGTATCCGTTGCATTGTTGCAGAAAGCAAGCTGACAAAAGAAGTGCTATGGCAGCACTGCACTTCTCACTAAAGCAGCATTCTCTCACCTGCTGATGCACCGGTGCTGCACTACTAAATACCGAATGCACTATTTATAGCAGCTTTCACTTATGGTAGCACTCTTTTACCTGCTGCTAGTGCTTGTTGATTTGGCTGGTGGTGGAGGTGGTGGGAGCTGTTAGTGCGGTGCTCTTCCATTGCATTGTAGTCAGAGAAACGCACCAAACGTCAAACGCATGGTTGTCAAAGTGCAACTGCAGTTTGNTATCACCTGCTGATGCACCGGTGCTGCACTACCAAATACCGAATGCACTATTTATAGAAGCTTTCACTTATGGTAGCACTCTTTTACCTGCTGCTGCTTGTTGATTTGGCTGGTGGTGGAGGTGGTGGAAGCTGTTAGTGCGGTGCTCTTCCATTGCATTGTAGTCAGAGAAACGCACCAAACGTCAAACGCATGGTTGTCAAAGTGCAACTGCAGTTTGATGCTGCTGCTGCTTTTTCACTCTAATTCATTTAGCCAAATCATCATCATCATGTTCACAACCAGTGATCACCATTCTCCGGATTAGTTCAGTCTAAACAAGGGATCACTGTGGGATCAACGAATTAAGGCAGTTTTCGTTGTTGCCGGGCTTGTTACTCGGTGTGTGGCATCATCAGCATCAGAGAGCATCAGTATAAAAAGCAGTCGTCAATGGTTGCAGTAGTAATCAACTGAAAGAGAGCAATGACTAAACCCAATACGAACTGAAACTCACAGATAGAGTAAAAAGAGAAAAAGGAGAGAGTGAAAGAGAATATCAGCGAGACGAGCCATTGACACACACACTACCAGCACCAGTAACACTACGACTACACATCACTGCAAATGCTAACCAGCAAATGTCAGCTTTTGCAGAAGAAGGCTATCAACTAGCTGCTGTTGCTCTTGCTGCCTGTCTGTCTGCCTGCTTGCTGTTATCAAGCCAATCCACGCAATCCACTCTAGCTCGATGTTTTCGTCAGCAGGCAGCCCGATTGTCGTCAAACAGAAGACACAGACAGAGCTGACAGTTGAGCACAGTTATCACAACTGACAGATCACTACTTCTCTATTTCATTTCAGTTAGTTAGCTAGTAAAGCTTCTCTCACATCTTCATATAACCTCAGTGATCTTCACCCAATTAGCCGAACAAAAGGCATATACATTCCCTTTCTCTTTCTACTTATCACCATCCGATATCATTATCATCAGTGGCATTATCATTGCCAGTATACACACAGAAGAAGGCCTTATCATCACTACTTAGAGTCGTGCCATTTCGCGCCTTCTCTTTTACCAACACATACACACAGAAACGGACAAACATTCTCAAGTTGACTTTTACTTACTTACTTACTCTTGATACTCAAGCCCACACCTGAGGAGAGGCTACATAGCCTACAAAACAGTAGTAGACTGTCAGTATCGCTGCCAGTGCACATCCGGTGTCAGTGAGCAGGTCTTCGTCACCATTAGCACCACTTAAACTAATTTCATCACAGCTTTCTGACAACTTCAGCAATTAAAAGTAGCACTTTTTCATCAACTTTAATCATATTTTCCAAATCCTAACCCTTTATTTCTCTTTAGATGTCCTTCGAAGACAACGACTACACCTCCATCAATGTGGTGCCGGTGGTGGACCTGACTGACCGGCTACGCACCGACCGCTTGAACACGCTGCTGGAGAAGTACAGCGCCCACTTTGGCGGCCAGTCGGCGCAGTTCGTCGTCCGTGTCCCCGGTCGGGTAAACCTAATCGGCGAGCACATCGACTACTGCGGCTACTCTGTCTTTCCGATGGCCCTCCGCCAGGACATTCTCATGGCCGTCGGAGCGGCAACGGATGAGCAGAACGACAGTTCAGGGCCCAGACTGAGGCTGGCCAACACCCAGTCCACTTACCCCGAGGTGGCCATCAAAGAAGAGGAACTCGATGTTTTCCCCAAGAGCGTCAGTTGGTTCCACTACTTCCTCTGCGGCTACAAAGGAGTCGTCGAGAAGTACTGCAGCTCGGTTGTGGGAGAAGATGGTGAAGAAAGCAGCAGTAGTAGGACCGTCAGTAAGCCACCGCCCTTCAACGTCATGGTCGACGGCAGCATTCCGCCCGGTTCGGGGCTGTCCAGCTCCAGCGCCATGGTCGTCGCCTCGGCCCTCTCCACGCTGATCGCCTACTACAACTCACTGTGTAAGTGTGTTTGAGAAGTATACTGAAATCCGGTTAATAATCCTCTTTCTTTCCAAATCTTCCAGCCAAAATATCCACCCCCATTCCTAAGCTGGAGATCGCCACGCTGTGCATCAAGTGCGAGCGCTACATCGGCACTGACAGCGGCGGCATGGACCAGGCCATTGCCGTGCTGGCTGAGGAGGGCAGCGCCAAGATCATCGACTTCATTCCCACGCTGAGCGCCACCAACGTCCAGCTCCCCTCGGGCGTCTGCTTCTACATCGCCCACAGCGGCGTGCAGATGCACAAGGCCGCCAGCTCGCACTACAACACCCGAGTGGCGGAAACGCGATTGGCCGCCGCCGTCATCGCCAAGCGCCTCAAGATTTCCGGCTACAAACTGGGCGACCAACTGTGGGTGGTGCAACAGGCCAGTGCCATTCCCCTGGCGGAGATGGGCGATCAGCTGGCGGCCATCTTTGAGGCGGAGAAGGACGGCGAAGGCTACAGCAAGGAGGAGATTTGCGCCATTCTAGGTCAGTCAGCTGAGAAGGTCTTTTTCTGTTTGAAGTTTCGCTAATTTTTAATTTTTTTTAGGTTTGGACAACGACGAAATGGAGAAGATCTTCCTCAGTCGGCTAAGTGACCCTTCGGTGGTGCGCTTCAAGCTGCACCAGCGGGCGAAGCACGTCTACGAGGAGGCCTTTCGCGTGCAGGAGTTTCGCCGGATCTGCGAGACGACGAAGGACGTCGAGCGNATGAAAAAGTTTTTTTGCGGTTAAAGTTTTGCTAATTTTTAAAATGTTTTCCTTTAGGTCTGGACAACGACGAAATGGAGAAGATCTTCCTCAGTCGGCTAAGTGACCCTTCGGTGGTGCGCTTCAAGCTGCACCAACGGGCGAAGCACGTCTACGAGGAGGCCTTCCGCGTGCAGGAGTTTCGCCGGATCTGCGAAACGACGAAGGACGTCGAGCGGCTCGGCCAGCTGATGATTGAGTCGCATGAGAGCTGTCGCGACCTGTACGAGTGCTCCCACCCGAAGTTGGATGAGCTGGTGGGAATTTCGCTGGACGCCGGCGGCGCCATCGGCGCCCGACTGACCGGCGCCGGCTGGGGCGGCTGCATGGTGGCCATGGTCTATGAGAATGAGGCGGAGCACTTTGAGGCGGTCCTCTCGAAGGAGGTCAACTTTCTGGTGCGCAGTGGGCCCAGTGGCGGTGCCGCTGTCTACCGCATCAACTAGTGAACTTATGAGAAAGAAATTAAAAGTAGTGCAATCAACGAAACAAATGTACTAATGATAGGAGTAACAAACAAACTTCACAAGTTGCAACCAGTGGTCCAAACACACACGCAATCAACACACTTCCTTAAGCACACCCACACACATTTTCATTGTCGATATTGTGTCCCCTTTCCAAAAAATGGACTTATTTCTTTTTCTATGTTTTACTTTTTTGTTTTATTTTACTTTTCAACTTGTTCCAATTTACTTTCACAATCTCCTTCAAAACCAGCTGAGTTTATTGAGCAACTAAAAACACACTCACACACTATTTTCAGCAGTGTTATTGTACAACTTTTTGTTTCTCATTTTCAAAGCTCTAAAAGGGCGGAATGCCAAACTCGGTCGGCTCAAAATCAAGCAACGAGTTTAGTCTCTTGTACGGCCTCACACGCTCATTTTCTTTCTCCGAAGTTCTCGGATCAGGAACCCAGATCGAGCGCATACCGGCGGCATTGGCGGCCTTCACGCCCGCCTCTGCGTCCTCAAAAACGAGCACCGAACTGTAGTCTTGCACAGGTGGACTCTTGAATCGAGAGGCACAGACGAGAAACGGCTGCGGATCGGGTTTCCCCCGACCGCCCACTTCTTCGTCNAAAGTTCTCGAATCAGGAACCCAAATTGACCGCAAACCGGCGGCATTGGCGGCCATCACGCCCGCTTCTGCGTCCTCAAAAACGAGCACCGAACTGTAGTCTTGCAAAGGTGGACTCGTGAATCGAGAGGCACAAACGAGAAACGGCTGCGGATCGGGTTTCCCCCGACCGCCCACTTCTTCGTCTTCACTTGCCAGGAGGACGTGGCTGAAGAGGGAGAAAAGCTCTTGGTGCGGTTCAGTCTTCCAGCGGAAACTTTCCCGTGGACTGCCCGTCGCCACGGCCATTGGAATGCCCGCACAGTGAAGATGGCGGACAAGGCGTTCAGCGCCGGGCATCAGCGTGCTCACCCGAGGGCCGTAAGCGGCCTGAAACTCTCGATCTGCCTCTTCAGCAGTCAACGGCAGCTGCAGCTCGTCGACAATTATTTGGGCACTGTCGAGGAAATGTCGGCCGGTGGCTTTTTCTGTGCAATTTTCGTAAAAGATTAAAAAGTGTTAAGCAACAATTTAATGCAAGTTTACGTTTCAGCTCAATGGTGTACTCCTTTCCGTACCGTCGAGCCACTTTAGTGTAGGCCTCGTCGTACCGCCCCTCAGTGTCCACCAGCAGGCCGTCCAGGTCAAAGATGACGTGAGTGATTTTGATTGAGGGGGAATTATTTAGAGAAGGTGACATCTTGGCAAGCAAAATCAATGCGCTAAGTTTTGTTGTAAATTAAGATGCAAAAGTGAAAAATGGCCTGCACTTGATGGAGCGCAAATCTGAATAGTCGTCTTTTTAAAGACTCTCAAATCTAGGATATCTCCAGCAATCAGTCTCGTCATTTTTTGATAGCAAAGAAATATCTGTACATGGCAGTGCAACATTGTTTGCATACTTTTAAAAATCTGTTGTCTGGTTTGAACTTGTTTTTACAGCTTTTACTTTATTATTTGTTAAAACTGAAAGTAAATTCAATCAAGATTGACAATTTTGATGCAAGAACTCATTGAAATCACACTGAAACTTTTAATTTTTAAAACAGCTATTTACTAAAAACATAACAAAACCTTTTTTAGGTAGTCCACTGATGATGCAATAAAATATCGATGCAAGTGTGATGATTGATCAGTGATGCACTACAAATCACTGACACGGCTAAAAATATGACGCCGTTCTGCTGACACTTCTATTTATTTCACTGAACATATAAAGGGCACCATTTTTCTGGCTAAAACAGGCAAACTAAAATAGATCTTGTTACCAAACAAAATATAAAAATGTTGATCGGTAAGCTTTAGAACAACTTCAATGACATAACTCTAACATTTTTTAGGCAATCTCCCATTTCTTCTTTTCGTTCTGTTACTGGTGAGCACAACTTCTGCGTTTGCTCAATATAATGAAAACTTCACTACCACCACTATCTCCACTAGCACAATTTCCATTAATTCAACTCCCATCGACTTCTCCGGACACTACCGCATGACAGTGGGCGACCGAGCCAACTTTCGCGCCCTGCTCGCCGAGCTAGGCATCGGCTACTTCAAACGGATGGCCGCCTCTGCCGCTCGCTACTCCTACATCATCAGCCAAAACCAAACGGAAGGGACGTACTGTCTGCAGACGATCAACAGCTTCCGCTCGCCGCCGGGCGTCATCTTCCGCTCGGGCGTCAGCTTCGCCGATCCGGCGCCCTACGATCCGACCACCCGCTCCACCATCATCGTGGCCGGTAATCGGTGGACGCACCTGCAGAAGGGACGGCTAACGCTGACCACAGAGCGAACTTTTAACGGAAATCCGCCAAAGTCCATTGACGTGATTACCAAGTGTAATGGCGTGACGGTGACGCGAAAGTACGAACGAGTGTAAAACGAAACGAAAAATAACTTTTTTGGTTGAGATAAAAAAGATTCAAGTAGAAAAGGGAGACAGCCCAAACTCCTCCGGTCTAAAGTGCTCCAGTGAGGGCAGCCGCCTAAATGGGCGCACTTCTTTTGTGAGCTCCTCAGGCATCCTCGGATCTGGGACCCAAATTGAGCGCATTCCGGCGGCGTTGGCCGATTTGATGCCCGCAATGGCGTCCTCAAAGACGAGCACGTTTTGCCTGTCAGTTACAGGAAAATCAGGTGAAAACCGTTTTGCTGCGACAATGTACGGCAGTGGATCGGGTTTTCCGCGCGTCACCTCTGGTTCATCGGGCACGTTCAGTACGTGATGAAAGAGTGCAAATAGGTCCTGGTGAGGAGCGGACTTCCACTGGAAGCTCGCCTTTGAGCTCCCAGTGGCGATGGCCAGTGGAATGCCTGATGAATGTAGGTGCTTTATCAACCGTTCAGCTCCAGGCATCAAAATACTTTCCCGTGGCGGCTTGCACTCCTCAAAAAGGCGGTCGCATTCGATAGCGGTGATTGGCAACCCCAAATCGTCGACAATGATCTGGGCAGTCTCGAGAAAAGGGACGCCGGTAGTTTTTTCTATTTTTTGAATAGTAAAAAAGTTAAAACTTCAGTTTTGAAGCATTTGTTTAGTTTACGTTTCAACTCAAAAGTAAAGTGCTTGCCGAAACGCTGGCAAACGGCTTCATAGGCAGCATCATATCGTCGTTCAGTGTCCAGAATGAGGCCGTCCAGGTCGAAGATGACGTGCGTTATTTTAACTGGCGGATTTGGTGATCTAGACGACATTCTGTACTTTCCGTGCAGTTATCTTTGCAGTGGGAAATTTTGTTGTTACAAAAGAAGAGGAGGAAGTGGAAAGTGCAAATTATTGACTGTAATTGTTGTTGTTGTTGTAAGAGAGGAAATGAAATGGAAAAAACAAAAGCAACTGAATGTCATTTAATAATAATATTTCAGCCTGTCCTGTTGACGCGCTGATGAATAAGGTACAAAAAGTAGTAAAAACAAAAATAATAAAAAAGAAAAATGCAGCAGTATAGCGGTATACTAACAAAAAAAGCCTGTCGTACAACTTTGAAAAAAGTGAGGAGAGAGATTGTTGAGCAGAAAGTGAGAAAGTGAGAGAAAGATACTGTGGGGTGATAAGTGTGGTGATCATGAGGAGAGAAAGAGGAGCAGGCTTCAGTGATGGACTTTGAACGAGGATGAAGTGACGATGAGAGAGAGAGAGAGGTGGCAAATTATCAGCAGTGGTGCTGTAAATCACCTTCCTCTTCATTACTTTCATCAGGTGATTATAAAAAAGCGAAAGAAGATTGCGAAATCGAGTGCACACGAGGTACACACTACTCGTACATACTGTTACACTTGTTTGAGCGGATAAACACACTTGGTCCAGGAGATGGAGGCAGACAAAAACTGCTGTTGTACAAAACACCTTTCCCNAAATTGCGAAATCGAGTGCACACAAGGTACACACTACTCGTACATACTGTTACATCTGTTTGAGCGGATAAACACACTTGGTCCAGGAGATGGAGGCAGACAAAAACTGCTGTTGTACAAAACACCTTTCCCCGGATTGTACAACAACAAAGTGCTAGTAAGGCGGCAGCCCAAACTCCTCCGGACAAAAGTCTTCCAGCGATGCTAGTGTCAGGGTGGCGGCCACTGCGTCAGTCGGTGTCCTCGAATCTGGGACCCAGATTGAGCGCATACCCGCGGCGTTGGCCGCTTTTATGCCCGCAACTGAATCCTCAAAAACCAGAACCGAGGCGGCCCTAGCCGGCGGGTACTTGAAGCGTTTCGCACAGACGAGAAAGGGCTGCGGGTCGGGTTTGCCTCGCGTCACCTCCTCATCCTCGGGCGTGATGACCGCGTGGCTGAAAAGATTGAAAAAGTCTGCGTGGTGGGCCGTCTTCAGGTCAAAGTTGACCCGTTTGGTGCTGGTGGCGATGGCGATCGGCACGCGACACCGGTGAAGGTGGCGGACCAGGCGGTCAGCGCCGGCCATCAGCGGAATGGGCGCCCGGGAGAACTGGCGAGCGCACTCCTCGGCCATCAGCGAGACGAATTCAGGCGGGGAAAGTGGAAGGGAGTACTCGGAGACGAGGAACTCGGCGTTCTGAATTGCCGGGACGCCGCTCAGTTGGACTGTAAAAAATTGTTAAAATTAAATTTTCTGGCGATTATTTTAGAAGTTTTCTCTTACTTTTTACATCATAGGTCAGTCGGTGGCCAAAACGGCCGACGATTGTCGCGTAGGCCGTCTCGTAGCAGGTTTCCGAGTCAAGCAGCAGGCCGTCCATGTCGAAGATCACATGGCTGACCGCCTGCTGGCTCTTATCCTCGCTGGGCATTTTTGAGTTTGAGTTTGGAAAATAAAGTTTTAGCGTTCAGGCAATTTTTGCTGGTTGTGTTTGTTGTTGTTGTTTGGCAACACTGCTTCGAATGACTGCGGCTGATTTGTGGTGAAAGAACTGTGCTAGAAAGAAAGAGAGAACGAAGTTATCCAGTGACGATGACGACGAGTGACGTTCTGCTGATGCTTCTGCTGATGATGTTTCTGTTCTGTTATTTTTAGGAGGAAGAAGAGGACTGCTTCTGATGAAGTTGAGTTGAGGATCACAGTGGTTCACAGCGTGTGTGCTAGCAACAGGCACCACCACCACTACTCTCTTTCCGTTGCGTCATGCGTTGGCTGGTGAAATGCGCTGATCTGTACACTACTACTGCCGTACAACTCGAAAACAATGGCTGACTGAATGACGGCCTGTCTCTGACACAGATTCATAAAGAGCACAGCAGTAGTAGTAACGGTAAAAACTGACAGACAAAAACACCGACAGGAAAAAGTATATAAAGTTGTGTCTGTTAAAGTCACCGAAGTCACAGCGAAAAAAAGTTGTAGTAGTAGTGGCTGTCGTCTGCTCAAGTGACAAAATCAAAAGAAAAAAAAGTTAGAGAGCTGCGCGTGAGGGCGAATAAGAAAAGAAGGAAAAGCGATTTTTATACTGAAACAGGAAAAGGATACTGAGTGAGTGAGAAACTGAGAGTACTTGTATTTAAAGCAGAAAAAGAAGAAGTAGCAGATCTCCCTAGAGAGTAGCTACTGTGTGTAGTAACTGTACCGAAGGAGAAACTGTGAGTGATAACCATCGCGGCAGACTTTGTCACTCACGGTCAAACACTGGCTCTCTGTGCTTTTCTAGCGGTAAGATTAGTTTTGTTACAATCAGTCAGCATCATCAAAGTAAATGTACTTTTTGCAGTTTAGGAAAATTTTCACCCCGAAGACGAGCCCTCTCTCACGCTCTCCTTTTAGCTTTCTACAGGATTTATTTAGATTTTAAAATGCGCGTTTTAATTTTTGCTCAAAATCGGACAAATGTTTTTAGATTTTTAGTTGATGCCATTCAAGTTGGGCTGCTGCTGCTGCTGCTGATATCTTCCAACTCCGGTGGCATTCTGCCGTGCCTCCTCATCAGCCGGAGAAATGTTCTCTGAATTCTGGTTAAACATTTTTACCTGGGAGTTGTAGATCACCAGATTATCAACGCGGAACATGAAGCCGACACCATTGTGAACTCCCGCCTTGGAGCTGCCCAGGTCTGCAGTTGTTGGAAGATCTTTGGTTGTTGCTGGAACTTCCGAGGCTGACTGCTGCTGTTGCTGCTGATGGCCATGATCACCAAAATACGGCTCATCTTTGGGCACGCTATTGACGATGGTAATGTTCGTCGGTGAAAACTGATTCGTCGAGAAGCTGGAAGTGCCGGAGGCAATTGACTG